GTTTGTTTCTGAAAGGAAAGAATTGACAAGAGGAAGACAGATCCAAGCTGTCTTGCACTGCCTAAGGAGTTGCATAGGGGCTACTAAATTGTTTGAGTGCCTGCTCAGTTGTATCAGTTTTGGGGAATAAAGTGGTCACTGGGCACAGGAACAGCAGTGACGGTATTTTTAATAACCTGTTTGGGTTGGTAGATTATTAGTTTATGTAAGTGTAGTTTAGGCATAGGAGCATTTTCGCAGCAGATTTTTATGAAAAAGTAGCCAGTTCTGTGGCTTATCTTAACCTCCCAATCGTTTTGTAGTGGTGCAAAGTATGATTTATGTGCAGATTTTCTCTGTTGTGAGATCAAAATAAAGCTGCGAACAGACAGTACCGTCAGTTCAAAAATACTGAGTTAAATGGATCTGCTTTTGGGGGAAAATCCTGATTTGCCATTATAGTCTTACAGTTGCATGCAATTAATGTTCATAAGTTTAATTCAGTTGTATTCTGTGATGGGGAAAACATGTATATGTCAACCTGAATCTTGCTTGTCCTGAGCTTTAGATACCATCAATTACAGTTAAGGCTCTTTTGTTGAAGAAAGAACGTATTGCATGAAAAGATGAAATAGCATTCTATTACATGCTAAAGTGTAATAATTTCTTTCTGGGAGACTTTAAATTATGTATGAATGTTTTATGTAGGATTTCTATATATGCAGTATGCACCTGAAACAGTTTTGCCCCAAATAACAGTACCAGACTTCTTAACTTCCAAAGGTTTATGTGTTCTCTGCGTTATTAAACACATACACTGATGGGGGGGAAATATGACAGGACAGTGACCTTTTTCCAGTGTTCCTGGTTATGGAATAGGAAGCTGTTGGAAAATGATTGCCACAGAGCTGAAAAGATAATCGGATGCAGTTCATTACTCATCTTGTCAGCTGCTCCTGCTACAAGGGATTGTATCACAAGATGTTAATCTGCTTGTGACTAGATTTCAAAGCAAGCATTTTTGTTTTGGAGGGGGTGTAAGTAATTTAACATCTTTCAATTTTACTTCATTTTCAGAAGCAAGAGAAATGGAAAATTCCCAATTTAAAGTCTCAGAATATTAATTGATAAAAATATTAGTACATCCTTGTGGGTTCTGTTACAAAAATATGATGATATGCTGCAAAAAGCTGTTTAATTGCAGAAGTTGTTCTTTTTAAGCTAATGATGAGGTAGTATATTCCTTGAATAGTGGAAGTTAGTCTGCTAGCACACTTCAGTGTGTTCTGCAAGACAACAAGTACAGACAGAAGACAGATTTGCAACAAAAAGAATCCGTTCTGTACATTGAATCACTAGAGTGTATGTACCTAATGCTCCAATACATTGTCTACCAGTGAGGATATTTGATGTAAGTGTAGAGGAGGACCAAATTCATTATTTACACTCTACAGATGGGAAGATGACAAGAATGCAATTTTGGCTAGATGTGTGATGAAAGTGAAAAGCCCGAAAGAGAAGTTACTTTCTGATACTGTGGGATGTTGCTTGCAGTGCTATATGAAGCATAGGGAAAGGCTTATAAACTTTCCATTACAATAAGATGAGCCAATAGATTTGCTGTGTACATTTCAGGCAAGCAGTACTGCCCTTTCCTTTTCCGCCTTCATCCTGCCTATCTTCTTAAGCCCTTGAAGAAGTTGTCCAGTACAAGGAGAGGGACATTCCTTTGATTTCCTGCTAAGCTGGAGAAAAACACTCCTTTTACTACCCTTTTTTGTGCCATTTTCTACTATTAGTTATTGTCAAATGGAACTGCACATTATATTTTAAATAGTTAAATTATAATTTCCATTGTGATCTACAGGCACAGATATGATCTCTATTAGAATACATTATTTAAAAAATAAGCAGTGAGATACTTAGAAGTACTCAAAAAATAATATATTGAGTTAATGTGTAAGCAGAAGAAATTACAGGTTTAAACAAAATAAATAAATGTTTCTGCATGCTCATCGTTGCATATGGCACTTTTTACTCCAGCAGGAGTATCTAATGCTAATGCCTTGCTGTATTCCAATTTTGGTAGCTACAGTCCACCTACTTAAATACCCCCTGGTGTATGCGTAGGCAACAGTACTCTCTTGTTCCTGCCACAAACTCTTACATGGTCTTTTGTGTGCTATTAATCAGCAGCTATATTTCACCTCCAGAGTGACTGCATCTCGACACTGGACAAAGTGAAATATCGTATCTTACATTATAGAAGCAACCAATAATGACTCCATAGATAGTGTCTTTAGTTGGTCCAAAAATGGGGCATTAATCATTTTTTCCCCTAAACATTTTTGACTGAGTAGTCAATCAGTATGAGGTGTTATTTGAATTTTCCATGTAGCTTTTCCCCTCTCTTTCTCCTCATACATAATACAGTTGGTTAGCTGAGACATGAGGGCCTTGTTCACTACAAAATTCTGATACAGTTAATGAACACCATTTGCCCAGGTCATAAGACACAAGCTAATGGGCAGAGGCTTTATTGGTACAGCTGTGGCTACTATGGAAATGTTTACGTAAGTACATATGTATATATGTCTGACTTTACATTTTTTATATATATATATATATACACAAAAGTTATATGTTTTAACAAAAACTTAAATGTTGTCACATGTATGTTACTGTTATTTGTCATCATGATGAATCTGACAGTTAAGATAGAAATGTCAATGTGGAGGGACTACATGCAACTTTGTTTTCAAGACCCTTTAATCATTGCCTTTTCTGCTGAGACTATGACAGAGGTGTAGATAGTGATTGCAGTAATGAAAAAAAGTTTGAAAGTGCTCTGTAAGTGTTTTTCCACGTCCATTAGATTATTTAGAAATTGAATTGAGTTACCATGCTGAATAGGCAAACATTGTTCCAGGTTGGGATAGAGAATATGAAAGCCAATTAATTTACTCTATAGTTGATGTGAAAGGCCATTTTTTTAATAGTAATTTTCATGTTTTAAATGTGAAACTGTGAAACGAAGAACTGAGTAATTTCGTATTTGTACTGTAGTAATAAATTTACAAAAAACCCAAAGATGTTTTATGCAGTGCACCTTCTGAATCATTGTCTGATACTATAATTTTACTTTGCCCATTTATGAAAATCAAGTACAATTTTACAGAAAATACAAACACAGCTATAAAATAAGTTACTTCAGTTTCTAAATCCACCAGTGTTCTCAAGCAGTCAAAAATGAGATTCCATCATCCCAGTTTATTTTAGTATTCTGTGTTAATTTTCATACATTTTACGAGTCCAACAGCATAAAAGACATTCTCTCTCAGTTCTTAACACATGACCCATAAATGTTATCTTTCTTCGAATATCTTTAGAGCTAAGAGGTAGGGTTGGATGAATTCCTCATCCAATCTCAGAATTTGTGAAAGCATTCTATCTGATAATCCTTTTTTAAATTTTGTTTTATTTTTAGGTGTCTCAGTGTATCTTTGGCTGATTTTCAGTTTTATATAAACTCTTTAAGATTATAATTTTGCAGCTGAAACTTGAACTTGAACTTGCAGTCTTTCAATGACCAGATCTTCAAGTGGGATGCAGTGGTACCCTGTTAATGGATGACATTCTCAGCACCTTCATTACTTTACATGTTATTGTCAATGCAAGTGAATAAAGTGTGTTCTTTCTTCATTTGTTGTCTTAAGTACTAAGTCAAATTAGAGGAGCTGGGCTTTCATATTTGATAGCTAATCTCCTCATTTTTGTGGTGCTGGGCAGTGCAGAAGTTGAACTGACACTTTAAAAAGGGGCTTGTGTTACTAACAAGAACTAGGGTTGTTTGGTTGGGGTTTTTTTCATTTTTTCTCACAGTGAAGTCGCTGGCAATGCCAAAAGGAAAGCTGAGAAAATACATCCCTCTGACAGTGATTTCAGTGTTGAGCCCTTTGCTTAAACCCGTCTTTAACTGTGAATGTTGTGCTTTGATTTAAAACCTTGGATATTTCAGAGTGAGTCAGGAGAGAAACAGCCAAGTACCAGCTTAAGATCCTTAGAACTGCTGACATTTGTCGTCACTGCTGGCTGTTTCACTTTTTCATTCTAAGCACTTTTTGCTGATTATCATTACTCTAGTGATTTGGTCAAACTGGTTAATTCTACAGTAGGGTCAATACATTACACGTATAGCATGCCATGAATAAAACCATTCTGTCCAGAGTGAGCTTCTCCTTCCCATGAAAACACTGGACAGCCTTCTAAGTGTCTAACTAGTGGGCAGGACAGGATACCCATCATCATCTCTTGTACTTTTTTCTACCTCAAACACACAGACAGGAAGAAAGCACAAGAGAGAAAATAAAATCATGCTTTAATGCTTGAGCGTAAGTGCAAGATGTTGGGGGGAGTAAGGAAACAGCCTGCCATTTCTTGTATGTCCTTTATTACAAGAATACACTGCCTTGTTTCTGCTTCTGACGGCAAGCCCTGTTGACACAAGGAGGTGAAGAGTCAACTGTGAGGTTCACTGTATTTTCATGTATTTTATGTTTTTAGAAATGGGAAACTGTTGTGTGTGAAGCAGGGCACCATGCACTGGTTTCGGTCCCTGGCTGGTGTTTGCAAACATGTTGTAGAGGCAATAACAATAATTGCTGTGATGTAGCCAGCATGAGAACCCCCACGGAGCGTGAAGGTCACTGCAAGGCAAAGAGGTTTTCTAACATGGCTCCTGACGTGTGCTGCTTCGGCCTGCACTCATGCCCCTAGAGAGCTGGGAGCATTTCTCACAGACTTGAAGGAAAATACTCCATTTGAGAGAAGACTGAAGCTTTTATTTTTTTCTCCAATATTTTTTCTAGCTTTAAACTTGAGGAAAACTTCTCAGACTTACTTACTTAGTTTTTATTGTCAGTGACAGTAGAGCAGCTTTGACTGGAAGCATTTGCATTGTTTAAGATTCTTTAAAAAGAGTATATTTTGAAACTTGTATTCCTTTTGTCCCTTGCTATCAGGATGGCCAGTCTGATATTTTGTACAAATTCTGGACTGCAGTAACTCAGACACTTTCCTCTCAGTTTCAGTCAGCAACAGACTGTAAGTATTCAGTATAAATGATTTGTAATGTGTTCTATAGTTATTTTGAACCTCTCATTTCGGTAAGCCCTTTGCTCATTGTGTCCTCTAGAAGAACTATAGCAGTGGTTCACTCAGTGCAGGGTCTGTGAATATAAAACTTCTTGGTTTTGTAAGCAAACAGGGAACTGTGGTTGAGTTTTCAGAAAGAAATATTTTCTGCTTCATTAAGTCATTATCTAATAGCGAAAACTTATTTTTGCAACAGTATATGGAAGTAAAAATGTTTGGAATTGTACATTATGCTTTCCAAAGCGAATGGGTTTGCGAAATTCAAAAATAGTAATTTGATTTTAAAGAGCAGTTCTTACAGTCTTTTCTTGTTAAACACCGATTAGTTGTAAAAATCTGATTTTAGCCATTTTTGGATACCTTTATAAATAGGAGTTGAGTTTCTTCAAAATTGTGTCTTGTCTAAATATAGATAAACCACAGAATCATAGAATCATTATGGTTGGAAGAGACCTCAAAGATCATGAAATAAATGGCTGGTGTTCTGACTATACACAATATTCTGTACAAATGTAATACATAGATACAATCAAGGAATATCAAATAAATATTGTGTATAAACATAAGACAGTATAGTTACCGGTACATGCTCGTGCAGCATGCAGTTGGATCACAGGTGAGTTTGGTGCTTTCATAAATACATCTTTCCTGTTTGTATACAGTGTATAAAGTTAATCTTTTGCACATACAGATAAGTGCATAAGATTTGTTTATCTTTGTGATCTCGGCTATTGTACTGGCCTTTCAAAATTTAGTCCTTCCAGACTTTATAGCAGCAATATAATTTTGAGGAACTAGCTGGTTGATTCATGTTCAGTGGTTGCTAAGTAACTAGATGATCCCAAAAGAAATTTTATTCATCTTGTGTTAAAACTTATTAAATTTACTGTTTGCCTTACGCATTACTTTAACAGCAGTATACCCAGAATCTCACATGTTCTAACCGAACATGTGCTACCTGTTTTCAGCACTTGGTTTTAAGACTGTAAAATTATGACATCAGTTAATAGGATCAATCAACATTTCAGAAGTAAGGGAACTCTTATATTTTGTGAGCAGTACTTTGTCTGTCAGCTATTAAAAAAAATTTATTACTTACAATTTTTAATCATGTTTTTTATATAAACATTTAGAGGGAAGGGTTGAATTTTTGAATTGCGAATGATGCTTTTACTTTGCTACAGCTGAATTTTGGGGCAACAATGCTTACAGCGAGTAAATGTTTTCATTTAAGTGATTCATCTATATGAAAATATTCATTTTAATATATAAATTCTAAGTGATTGAATCCACTGACATCAGTCACAGACCTCTGGATCATACAGATCAGAGGAGGACTAGACAGTATCAGAAAAATAGTGTAAAAATAGGAATTCATGGCAGTTTACAGAGTTTGGTAATAGATCATGATCTGCTTTTGTGAGGTTGGGACATAGCTTTGTGAGCTAAAATAACTCGTGTTTGATAATAGATAAGAATCCTTCAGTATTGAGAATTATAATATATTTGAATTGAAAGGATAGGCTGGGTGAAGTGGGGCAGATGTCTGGAACCTGAAAAACCTAAAAATGAATGGAGCAGTGTTAATCTCCTAATGGGGTGGGACATCCATAAAGTATGAGTGGTGTTAGATCAAGATTAACTTTGGTTGCTAAAACAGTTGTACTTTTGGTTAATTTCCTTTTACTTGTGACAAGCCTTTCAAGGCTGAAAATAATGCTGATTTTTCTGCTGGCTTTGTCATTCTTTATTTGACAAGTTTAGGAATTGCATTTTAGACACCTTGTTTTAAGAAGTGTGTGTAAAAGCATATGCTTCCCTCATCAGATTAGTTAAGACTTTGGCTCATAGAAATTATCTTTGTCTGTTTTAAATGGGTATCTTCAAAGTTGCACGGCCCCACACTTATCCCCCATCAAGCTATTGTTAGAAAATCTCTAGATTTAAAGAGTTCTAATCACACTTTGGCCTTAATTGAGTTATAATAGTAACAACTAAGTTTGATAGCAAACATTTCACAACCATGATTAGTATCTTTATTGTACAAAATAAGTTTTCCATGTCCAGTCTTCCAATTGTGGATTTTATGCTGACACTTTAGATACGTACCATTGCCAACTGCATTTAATGTGATAGCTCATGCCACTTTGAAATTAATTATTAATATTAAAGATAGGATGTATTTGTATATCATTCATTGATATAAATGCAAGAATACAGGTTGTTTATATGAATCAAAAAATTAGTTTGAACTTAGCAATGTGTATTGCTTACTGCTTTATTTTGCAGCCTCTATGTTTTTGAAACAAGCTTTTGAAGGAGAATACCCTAAATTACTGAGGCTTTATAATGACTTGTGGAAGCGCCTGCAACAATATAGTCAAAATATTCAGAGGAATTTTAACACAAGTGGAACTACTGATCTCTTTGCTGAACTGCAACAAATGGAAGAAGATACACAGGACATATTCATGAAAAAAACCCAAGATTATGAGTATGTATTATGAACTCTAAGGCAATAAAATGTAAAGCTTTGCACCCTGCAAGAAAACAGTGTTTTTAAGAACTGAGTTTTTATTGAAATTGTCAAAGCGGGAAAATTTTAAAGGCTTTTTTTCCTCTTGCAGTTACTGCTTTAATACTATTTTAGAGCTGTAGGATTTTCATTAGGTTATATAATTAACAGTTTTGGATTGTCTTGTCTTGTCTTTCACAAAGTCCCTGACTTTGGAACTAGTTTTATCTTTTTATCTCTTTGGGTGAAAAAAAACAAAGCAGAATGATGAAAATTCAGTTTTGTAGGTGTTGCGATTACAGCAGTAGCTTTCTGTTAATGATACTGCAATCATTGGAGTGTGACAAATGCTGCGTTTGTTATGATTCACAGTTTTTATGTTTATACATCGTTGAATAAACATCATCTGAGTGGTAGGTATTAGAAAGATCAAACTGAAACAGGGTCATCAAGTCTATCAGGACTTCTAGACTTATGTAAGATAAAATTAGTATTTTATGTGAGATTTGTATTGACTTAAATATGTTCCTGAGCAGTCAGTGGGATACTTATCATTGACTTCAATGGAAGCAAAGTAGGAAGTTCACCAAACTTCTGACAATGAAGTAAAATGTTTGAGAGCACTACTGCTTACTCATTTTCACAAATAGAAATACTAAAGACTGAAGCTTGTTAAAGGTGAATTTAAGAAGAGTCTTTCTATTTGAAGCTTTCTATATGCATATGTATAGCAGGAGATATTTTTTTTTAATATATCATTGAGTACAAGCTATCTGCTGATGAAATATGCGAATATAAGAAGATCTTTCATTGCAGTTCTGGATATCTTGCTGGTATTTTGCAGATATTTTTAGCACTGTTTATCTCAAGAACACCTTGAATTAGGGATTCCACGTAGGTGTTGCAGGAAGTGCCAAGAACTGTATTGAACTACACAGAATGGCTCCCTGACTAGGTACATGGTTCAAGTGAAAAGCAAGGTGTTGTACGCCATTAAAATCTTATCAAGTGCATATGTTTAAAGAGCAGAAAATAAAACCAGGTTCAATACTGTGAAGTTTGTATGGTCTGGAAAGATTAAATGCTATTGTGTATTTTAATTCAAAATGTAGTAATTTTGTCTTATACCCACAGTCCAGAAAAGGCCTTGAAAGATTCGCTGCAACAATATGAAGCTGCTTATTTGTCAAAATCCTTATCTCGACTCTTTGACCCCATCAATCTTGTCTTCCCTCCTGGAGGTCGGAATCCTCCTTCTTCTGACGAGCTTGACAGCATCATTAAAACTATAGCCAGGTATACACGTATAATACATTGCAAAATGTAATCTTCAACATGTTTTTTCTTATAAGTTACAATTTTAGAAATGAGACTTCCTTAGCAGTAAAAGGTTGATTACTCTTTAGTTATAAAACTGGTTAGTGTAAAAATTGTCAGGATTTAGAATAAAATAGCATAGCATAGCATAGCATAGAATAGAATAAAATAGAGTATTTCAGTTGGAAGGGAACTACGGTGATCACCCAGTCCAACTGCCTGAGCACTTCAGGGCTGACCAAAAGTCAAACCATGTTATTAAGGGCATTGTCCAAATGCCTCTTAAACACTGACGGGCTTGGGACATCGACCACCTTTCTAGGAAGCCTGTTCCAGGGTTTGACCACCCTCTCAGTAAAGAAATGCTTCCTAATGTCCAGTCTAAACCTCCTTGACACAGCTTTGAACCATTGCCATGCGTCCCTTCACTGGATACCAGGGAGAAGAGATCAGCACCTCCCTCTCCTCTTCCCCTCCTCAGGAGGCTGTAGAAAGCAATGAGGTCGCCCCTCAACGTCCTTTTCTCCAAAACAGACAAGCCCAAAGTCCTTAGCCACTCCTTCCAGCCCTTTCACCAGGTTTGTTGCCCTCCTCTGGACACATTTGAGTAACTTAACATCCTTCTTAAATTGTGAGGCCCAGAACTGCACACAGTGTTCAAGGTGAGGCTGCACCAATGCTGAATACAGTGGGATACTCACCTCTCTACTATTATTTATAATTTATTATACATTTTATTATTTATTTCCTGTGTTTTGTTTTTTTTTTAAAAACTGAAATTTTAGCTTAAGTTTTACTATTTAAGCTTATAAAACATCAGGAAGAGAATCTTCACACATATTTTAAATGTCCGATATCTAAATTATTCTGACGGTGTCAAAGGGAAGATGGTAGTTGCTTGGCTGCAAGTGATAATACCTGATGTAAATATTCTGTCAGAGTGAAACAGCAATATAATAGATAAAGACGACTATTCCAGGTAGAATTTGTAAAATAAGATACTTAAATTACCAATGGTGTTATTTTCCATCATAAGGTTTTGGTAAGGAGTACTCTGTTTAATACAGTCTGAAAATGATGGGCAGTATTCACAGTATGTGTATGTGAGTGTGTGTGTGTGTAATATTAAATACTGACACTGTACTTGTCACTGGGAGTTGCAGATGCTCAGAACCTGCCTGTTGGTGTGGTTATTGATGTTATTTTGCTCCTTGCAGAGGAGATGGGAAAACAGTGTGAAAATTATGAAATTTCAGCTGAGTTTTCCAGAGTGACCTTCAGCTAATGATGTTTGGAGCCCTGCAGAGTTCTTGGAGAAGGTTATTCCTATGTCAGGGTGTGTCTCTCCAGTTCTTGGGAGAGGTTAATTTCATCACTAGCAACATGATGGTCCCTGTGTTGTGCTTGTCTGTTTTCAGTAGAGCGTTTATGAATGCAACCTCAACCGATGGAGATCGAAGGGATTCCATGAACAAGAAATACTGGAAGTCATTTAGAAGTCTTTTCCTTCTTCCGTTCATTCCCTGTCATTCCTTTGGGGCCTCTGTTACTATAAAGGATTGCCTAAAACACGGCTTCTAAGTTGTGTCAAGCTAAGACGTCCCCTGGGTATTTCTGCACAGCTCATGTAATTCCAGAGTTGAATGACTGTGTATTCACCTGTAATGTTTGAAGGCTGCTGCCAAAGCTTGAATGTAGTTAATTGCAGTCAATATTTTTGAATGGCTTACTAATAGTGATTTCATACTGAAGTGTCATTCCTAAACTTTGCTCATTTTTACTAGAATAGGAACACTGCACATAAAATTCCCAAATGACTTGTTAAATTGTAAACTGAATTACGGTGCTTAGAAAGACTTGGTTGTATGTGCTACTCTCTCTACATTGACATGCCACGTAACTACATATTCATAGTTAATTCTTTTTCAATTAAATACAGCAGTGTTTAGTTGTTAATTAAACTTTGTAATCTTTGCTTCTAGTGAGCTAAATGTGGCTGCTGTTGATCCGGACCTGAGTTTAGCTGTGGCAAAAAATGTGGCAAAGACCATTCAGCTCTACGGTGTAAAGTCTGAGCAGCTTGTAAGTAATTCTAAATTTCTAAAAACTTATGTTTTTCAATGTACAATGTTCTGGTTTTTGTAGATTTACAACATAACAGTAAAGCAATCTAGATAGACAAAACCTTTGAATTGGTTTTCCATTGTATTTGGAAACATTTTCAGTTAAATTCTGCCTTCAGATAAACAGTGTATTGATAGCAGTAAAATTTGTCTGTATAACTCCAAGTTGAGTTTGCCATATTAATTAAAAAAATCAAAATTGTAGTTGTTATTAAGTAAAACTTAAGACAATTCAATTCAATTTAATATTTACCAACATTTGATATTCCATCAGTTACATGATACGTTGTCTTTGTAATGTTAAAATCTGGACTATTCAAATATATTTTTTCACCATTTACAACAAAATTTGGGCATTTTTTGCATATATTTATTATTTGCCATATATTTAACTGACCTTTGTTTGCATTTGTCAAATGCTTCCAGTCATTTGCCACGCACTGTTGTCTAGTGTTAAACTCAGTAGAGGAAGGATCTCCAAAGCCTTATATTTTGGGTAAGGATCCCCAAAAAGCCAGTGGATAGTACAGTGAATGCCGTCGTCATACGAAAAAGTAATTTTTAAGATCATTAATTTTCTTGTGAAGTCTGTTCCTGAAGTTTTAATGCTTTTCTTATGAAGAGATGAAAATTAATTTTTGCAATATGCAGACACCCAAGAAATTACTAACTTCTTGTATTTGTAAACAAGATTTTAACTTAAACAACATTAATTCTGAAAGCAAACTCAGACTCCAGTGGCATTCTTTTACTATATGGTTCATTTAAAGAGAGATACTTACTCACAATTTTTCATAACAATTGGCAACAAAACTTTGCAGCAATTAAGTTAGTGTGGATTCTGTTTACCTTTTAGACACCTGCTGTCTCTGAATAGCTTTAAAAAAACTGAAATTCAATAACACATGCCTTGTTTACCATGTCTGTTGGGTGAATTGTATTGGAAGTTTGCAAACTTGTATATGGAAGAGGAATGTAGGTGAAGCAGTCATGAAGACCATAAAGAATATTTAAAAGTTTAAAATAAAAATTTGTGTTTACATTATTTTGCTGTATATTTAGAGCATAGTGCTTAAGTTGGGTCTTTCTTTAAAGACACCGAATCATGGCTTCGTAATTTCAGAATGAAATTTGCTCATGAAAGAAATCAGGATTTTTAGTAGGCTGTGAGAGTTGTCATGAGTGGAAAATATTACACTTGTGTCTCTGTCATGGAATGTAGTGTCAAATAGTGGCATTCAACTGGAAAAAAAAGTCATGTCAGCTGTAACTGTGAAAGCAGCAGGGTCTGTTGTGTTCCTCATCTTTGTTAGAGTTTGAATCTGGCCAGTGGCTTGTTCAAAAGCATACATCATTTTGTGATCACCCAGCTGACAAATTCTTAAGAAACCCTGAAAAAAGGGATATGTAGAAATAAGCTGACAAGTATACGATTTGTGTCTTTGTATTAGCTGACCTTAAATTAAAAGAATGTAGGACTAAAGAGGGAGTCTGAACCTTTGAACTTCTTGAATTTGACAACTGAAAATAAAACCTGAACCTTTGAAAAACTAAGCAACAGGATTAGTCAAACCAGCAGAATGAACATGAATGGCCTTCAAGAATATACCTGCAAATTGTAAACCAATATCAACTATGTATCACACAGCTACATTTTTTAACTTTTTTTTTCTTTCTTTCTGATATGCATGTTACAAAATTAAAAACTGGAAGGACTCAACACAGTTGCCAAGGCATAGGTGTGTAGTGCGGTCTTTGAAGTGCTAAAATATCATGCCTAGCCTCCAGCTGCCTCTGCAGAAGGGCATGGCTCTCCCACTTGTCCTGTGCCATGCTTGCCAGGCCTGTGGATATAATCTAGAACATCTTAACTTTTTTTGGTACCTATTTTTGGGCAGACAGATTGAGCCTGAAATGTGTACCATGTGTAGAACAGGAGCTATGTCAGACAGCACTGTTTCATTTTGTTTTAGTGGTGTAGCCAAGAATGCAATCTTAATTCAGTCTTGCAATCCAGCCTCCAACGATAGCTTTCTAAAGCTGAGAAGGGTGACCATGTAACATTTCCGCTCAGATGCTTCATTTCTGATAGCTATAGTACAGCAGTGCTAAAGATGGAAATTTAATTTCCTGGAGCAATTCACAATTGAGTTCTCTTCCACATTAAAAGTAAACAAAAGAATCTCAGAATTCTCAGTGAGAGAGGGCTGAGGGGTTCTTTAAAAGTCATTAGAAAAAAAATTTTTAATGTTATTGTAATATTGCAGGTAGATTTGAATGGTGAAAAACTGAAACACGCAGTCCTAAAAATGTTGAGATGTTCTGATGTCAGGGTTTTTATTTATTCAATTTTACTAAAGAAAGAATTGCAATTCACTAAGATTTCATCACTGTTTCTCCAGTTAGCCTTAGGTAGGACGAATAACAAGAAAAATGGTATTCAAGACTCGAAGATTTTACCTTTGAGTAAAAGCAGCGTCTAGCAATCTATACAAGTAGTACTAAAGCAAAAGCAAGGAAAAATGACCTCTTCCTGTGAATCCAAAACATTTGTTTGTGTTACTTGTGACTTCGTACACTGCTGGCTTTTGGTTTTCAGCTTTCCCCACACCAAGAACTAGCTGTTGCTGTGTCTGAAACCTATTCTTGGATTAACCAGTTCAAATGATTTCAGAGAAGATATAAATAACCCTCTGTGAGCAAGTAGGTAGATATATTTTGCTGTTGGGTGAATCTTTAGCTAACCCCTTGCTGATGCTTGATGTGGTTGGTGTATGCCATGAAGCGTTCAGAATTATCGTCCTAATTTCACTCAGTATAACTGCAGATGTTCTTGCTATACAGAGTTTGAAGGGATAATTATACATTGCAGTAGATTTAAAAAAATATTTCTATTAATTTAAAGAGTATTGCCTTTCAACTTCATCACCCATCCTGTGTTTTGTTAGGCGATGCAGAGGAAAGGTGCTTGGTATGTTTTCTCTATGTGGTTATTATTTTGTCTCTTCTTATTCACATTTTCCCTAAATCAGGCAGGCCAAACATCTTCATAATGATTACAGACACCGTGAGATTTCTGTTTAGTCACCATCTCTACATCCTTCTTGTTCCAGATTGGAAGAGAGATTAACAAATCTGATCATCTTGTTTTGGATAAGAGCAAAATTTTCCTCTTATGCATTTGCATATTGTAATCCATTGCTTACTTTTAAACATAATGGCTGCTTACGAGCCAGATTTTGTTCACTAGCTGCTTTTTCATACAAGTGAGGTAGCTCAGATAAAAAAGAATACTGACTCTTCTTGATTTAAGAGTTTTCCAGACGGGTCATCCATTCCCATTTGCAAATCCCTTGTTACCTGTCTTGATTGACACATATAGCATGTTGTGCTCTTGTTTAACTGGCCACATAAGGAAAATCAGCCCTTTCATCAAATGCTGACAATAAGTACAGCAGAGGGAAGAGATTCATGAGAAACCAGTAAGTTGCGTTTCCTGAAAGCAAAGAAAAAGTTGAGTAATTGAGGGTTTTTTGAGAATCCATGCTGTTTAACAAAAAATAGAACTCTCTGCCTCCTTGAGAAATTTTTATCAATTTGTATAACTGTTAGTTGAGAAGAGATGTAAAAAAGAGCTTATATCTCACCAACGTCTTCATTAGATGCCTTTGACATGGCAGCAGTAGTTGCACGGCATGATCCTCTAGGGCAGCGGTCACTCAAATTTTTTGGTCGTGCATCCCTAGCAGTAAAAACTTTTTCAGTGTGTACCCCCATTATATGTTTATTTATTTATAAATTATATGCGTGTACTATTGAAGTTCTGATATTTTCTTCCTGCACCCCAATGGATTGTCTTGCATAACCCCTGTGGTGCATGCACCCCACTTTGAAGACCACTGCTCTAGGATAATACACTGCAGTAATCTTCCATAATAGGTGGACAGATTTTGGCTGTCCATTTTTGAAAAAGATACCTGGTTGATTGCAGAAATCTTTTAAATTCATGTTTGATTTTGTTCATGTGCTACTTTAAATCAGATTTCTCATTTAGTTATATAAAAATGAAAATTATAGTCACCTGTTGATTGGAAGTGAGACAAAACTGTATTTCCCCAGTTGATTACCTATAATTTTGTCATTTACTGAGCTGAATTTTAAATGTACTTGAAATGTTGTGATTTCTGTCATAATTAAAAATCTCTTTGTTGCAACTTTGCAATCACTATGTTTTGGGTTGCCTGTTGACAGAGCTATTTCTCTTACCGATACTTAGAACTGGATGTCTTGCAGAGAGAAGTCATGAAACATTGAGGGTTAAAAGCTCTGAAAGTTTACAAGATGTGTACTTTTGCCAACAAGTAGAAAAATAAATTGCAAGATCCATTGTCCTTATAGAGATTGAAGATGGAAGAGCCCTATTTGGTCATCTAGTCTATTTCCATCCCAGCACAGGACTATTTCAAACTCTATTTATTGTTGGGGGTTTTGTTGCATTCTTTCTGCTTTTAGAGTGATGATTTCAGTTACCTCATATATTGTGAGTAGAAATGTAAGTACTGTATGTTCTCTTACTTTTGTGCTATTTCTGTTCAGCTTGGCATGTGGGTGGATTGAAATACACTAACACACCCACCAAGTGCACATAGATGAAAAGTGTTGTGCTGTGAACATGAAAATGCAGTTGTTTAGAGAAGATGCGATTCTCCTACTTTTTGAACTGGGAGACCTCTACTAGTTTCCTCCTTAGAGTTACAGTCATGCTGTCAGACTGTCTTTATTAATTGCAATCAGAGTCCCACAGCAATCCTTCCTGTCTTGTCTTGTGGAGACTGTGTCTTGCTACCTCCTCCCACCATAAGGCATCACTGTCAGAAACAAAGTGGCCTGGTATCTTTTGGCCAATAAATAAGCAAAGAGTAATCTGCAGAGGCAGGACTGTAAAAATCAGGTTGCCCA